CTTAATTCTTATTGTTCCTATAAAGCACAAATAAGTATTTCTAAATTTGTCATTGTACTCTCCACAAAGTTATTGAACTCAGAAAGTTATAGAGTTAGGGGTATTAAAGTTTAGCTCTTAAGTATGTGGTTTTCTGGTTAAATTTTAGGGAAATTTGGCGCCATCATTAGTATCTTATGCAGACACAACGATTAGTGATTGTCATTGATCACACAGTCACCTCAGGTGAATAAATGATATAAGTGTTAAAGCAGTGTGTAGTTGTTAAACCAGAGGTAGTAAAATTGCCTAGAAGACTGCAGAGAAAAGTCCCAATTCGTTTCCCTATATCCAAGTTGAATGCACATTACGGTGGTCCAAAATAATTGTTCTATACCGTATGTATTTTATATGAAATAAAAACAACTTTTCATAGAAAACGGTATGGAATTCCAGTACATCAATATTTTTCGATTGGAAAACCCTGGTTCTCTTCAGAAGACTTCCAATAACAAAACCGAATTATTTATTTAACCATATTTTAATACGAACGATTTTTAATTGATTCCCGTGCTTTCAGTTGTATTAAATTTGTTCTGCAATTGTAACCAAATCGTTAAATTGCACTGCTGACACTGATTTGAAAAAGACAGAAAAGTAGGAGAGAGAATTGGTTTAGTCAAAATTATCTATCAGTTAATCAATGCTAATAGCTTTGCTCCACACGCTTTCCCCGCTGCTCTGGTAATTAGAGCGTAAAAATAAGCTACTCTCTCACAAGTGTCAATTATGTGTCAATACGTGCCCAGAGCATGAGGAACGCAAAAAACCACATTTCGTGCCCGGAATCAAAAAATCAGCTTTAAACAATGACTTTACGTGTATTTATCTTATATGGCTAATAATATTACCAAATAACTACATTTTCAAAATTCTGTGGTATTTTCCACTTTTGTGTTTTGTAAAATTTGCTTTCGGATTTAAGAAACATCAGCTGTTATTTCAAATTGCCCTTTTGGACATTTGTGCCCGGAAAAAAAGTCCGGGCTGTTTCGTGCACAAAGAAGAAGACATTTACGATCCAAAAGTGGAACGTATTCTCTCTCCATTACCCATTTTTCTAGTGTGAGGAACGCTTTCCGGGCACCCGGGTGTAGAACAAACCTAATGTTACACTAAGGCATGATAAAAAAAAGGAAGGTAGAACTGCTGAGAGGAATTTTTCCAATTCCTGACGTTTTCAAGCAATTTAATTCTAAAATTTTACACTCCAACTCACACACACATTCTCATTTTCAATCCCAAACAACAACAACTTTGAACAATTCCTCTAAATTTTATACGATTTTAAAATGTTGGCAAACTTCAAACAAGTAAGAAAGCCCAAGTTCGGGCGGAGCCGAACATTAAATACCCAGTGCACGTATTAAATATATGTTTTTCACCTTACTGAAAGCTACCGCTATATGGTAAGCCGGGGCGTATCAATTTTGATTAAATTAGAGTCCTTAGATTTTGAAATTTTGAAGTTTCAAGCAGTTATGAAATTTACCGTTATATGAAAAGCGGCCTCAATTTTAGTCCGATTTCAATCATTTTGAATGTTTTGCTTTTATGTGGCAAGCACAATAACCATACCGAGTTTGATACAAATTGGTAGAACGGTTACCGAGATGCATATATGTGATCATAAGTGGGCGGTGCCACGCCCATTTTCTAAAATTTTATCACAAACGTGTTTCTTGGTAAAGAATTGTTGCAAGCATCAATTTTGAATAAATTAGCTTTAATATTTACTGATTTATCGATTTATTTAATTTTCAGCCATTTGGTATGTGGTGCGAAGGCCAAGAATTGTGCCAAGTTTGGAAGAAATNGATTTTTTGGCAGAAATTTTGATTTTTTTAGGGTAAAATGACGATTTTCCAGCGAAAGCTTTCGGCAACGCTGATGCTGAGTGTGATTTTTGTACGACAGGGGATGACTTTACTCAATTGCCCACTCAGTCCGAAGTAACACTTAATGGCCAGAGTGGTTCTCCGTTGGACGCAACTAATTAAACTGTAATAAATGTGAAAACGCTTTTTTGACGAACACATGGACATCATTTAAATCAATATCGCCAAATAAATTCTTGAACTTGATATTTATGTGTCCTCTTGTTACCTACGGAGTTATGCTATTTTATTGTTACTTATTTATATTTTGTTCTTGTTTACAGATGTACAAAATTTACAAAGATATTTCAAACCGGTTTCTGGCGGATTTTTTCATTTCATACCAATCTTGACTTCTCAGTAAAAGTTTTGAGTTTTTCGAAGTTTTAAAGACTTTTTCCAGTTTAAGGGAAACCCGTAAATAGTTTTAATATTATACCCTAGGTTGTTTGGAGATGAACAGGACATCACATATGATTCCAATAAGTAAAGCGTTTTCTAGGGGCTTGGCGGAGCTTCTCCCCCAATTTGTGTTCTGATTCTTGATGTTGTGACACCAGTGGAGAGATCTACACTTTTACTCCACCTCCGAAGAGGTTTTTTTTTATGGCAGAAGTACACTCGGCGGTTTACCATTCCCGATCTCTATTTGAAAAAAAAAAATGTTTTTGTATTGTTGCTGGCGCCAGAAAATGAACCATAGACCTCCCGATTGGCCGGAGGCACTCGGCTCGGCTGTTCACTGATTTTTATTTTCCTTTCTTTTTATGTAAAAACACAAACGTTGAACTTATTTTGCTCTGCTCTTTTCTAAATACATTAATAACTTTATTGTAATTGTTCGTCAGGACTTCATATCAATATAACCATTATTAGTGAATAAAAACTATGTAAAATAAACTGGTTTTATGCGGCTTTTTCTTAATTTCAACTTAAAATTTTTCGAATAACTCGAAAACCGGTTTTGGAAAAAGAGCGAATAATCGAACACCCTACTATTCATACAAACAGGACCAGGTTGACCGAACTTTGCCCGGAGTGCGTGCCTATATCGCACACAAAATTTTTCAAAAGAAATTTTTTACCCATAAAGCCGCTCACAGGCCATATTTCTAGCGCACGCCAAACTGGTTTCTTCGTCACTATGGGCCATTTTCACAGTTTCATTAGTTAACTACTATGCTATTGTTAAACCACCATTTTTCATTGCACAGTATCAGTTTCACTAATGGTTGACTGCAGTTAACTAATGTACATCCAGTTAGTCCATCCATTAGTTAACCAATAGATAAAATTCTAGTAGTTAACTAATGACTGGGAGAATAGCCCTATCAGCTTTAACTGGAAAAATACCATTAAGACTGTTCTTGTTTTGCTTGTGTCGCTTGCGCAGCAGCAACAGGTTTTTGCCTCACCTGAACATTTGGGACATTTTTTAATTTGTAATTAATTGTTAATGGAATTTATCATTTAACATTAAATATACATCCGTTGACATTTGAGCCTAATTAATACCTGAGCATTCAGTGAACTAAAATGCAAATTTTGATAAAAGTATGTTGATAAACAAAAACTATTGTCAATATTTTAGCCCGAAAATTCTATAAAAAAATTGGAAATAAAAATATCTAATTAATTAAGTAAATATCTTGTATACAAAATTAAGTAGCAACCGTATCTAGAAATGCGTTAGGATATGCACTGTCTTTACAAACTGTTAAAATCTGCAATTTCCGATATTTGAATTGACCATAAAAACTCGAGTTACGAAGAATTTTTTCGAAAAATTTTTATGGAATGTTGTACTTCCTTCTCTCCTTAAAAGTAAAATTAGTAAGGTAAAAACAAAATCCGCGCGTTCAGAAAAACGATTTTCTTCTAATTATTTTTTGAATTCATTAACCTAGATCCATGAGTTTATGGTGCAGTCTGTATTTGCCCGTGGATACAAATGTATGTTTCTCCACTATATTTCGAAAATAGTAATTTTATCAACGCTTACGTTTTGTCTTTCCCTTTCTACCGTGGCCGCCTGAGAGATTACAAATCTGGTGCCTGAGAGATAAAAACCGATTGAGCTTATCCAAAATGTATTCAACAAAGTATCGAGCCCTAACCGCCAAAATAACGTAAGCGACATTTTTTTTCAAAATTTTCCTTTTGATGCAGAAATGCATCTAGATGCTCTAGGAATATTTCTGCATCAAAAAGAAAATTTTGAAAAAAATGTCGCTTACGTTATTTTGGCGGTTAGGGCTCGGTATGATTGATTTTGACATTGCTCTCATAAGAAACAATCTTATTCGTGCTCAATCACCGCCATGCCCCCTCTTCTTCCATTGCTTTTTCGTTTGCATTTACCCCTTTCCGAGCGCAAAGACGTTTCAGTTCAAAAATCCTTTCGGCCTCGGAATCTCCGCAGCAAAATTTTGTTGGCCAATTTTATTGATGTAACTGTATTGGACCTATTTCTGATACACATTCATCCATATCTAAATAAACACAATACAAACAATTTTCGGTGTTAACCCAGCCAGCAAAATATCCGGAAACGTATCCGAAAATGGAAACAATTTCGTATAAAAACCTGATGTTTCATCCGTTTTCCGATTCCGTTTTCGGACGTTTTTCAGATCAATTCTCCCACTAAAGTGTTCATTCGAAACGTATGTGCAGAAAACTATCGAAAATGGTTGTAAAACGGATGCGCTTTCGGCTGTTTTCCTGAAATTTGTCTGATTCAATTTTTCGTTGAAAACGATTTCATTATGCTTCTGACGGATTTCGAACCTGGGACCTCCTGAAAGCTAACAAATAGTAGCACACTTCTCTGCACACTCAGATACTGGCGAATACGTATACATTCTTTCAAATGCTCAGTTTGAACAAATATTTTAAAGTTATTGTTTTGAAATAAGATGATGACATTTTTTGGATACGAAAAATGAACAAATCTGGAAATCGTTTGTACGAAAACTGCACTTTCGGCAAAAAGTACGTTTCTCTCCTGGCTGTGAATGTAAACATTTCCAATACTCATTCATCACGTTCCCTTTCACAAAAAAATAAGAAGCTTTCATCTTTCATCTTTCTTTAATTTAATTACTAATTGTACATTTTTTGTTGGTTAAGCAATACTCTTCGTCTTAATGCTTTTAAGTTCCCTGCTTTCCTCTCGAATTCATTTCCACCTAGATGACAAGTATGTTCAACTAGGTAAATTTTATGTAGGCAAATACTGTCATGGTACTACCACGGTTCCATATGCTCTGCAATCCAATCGATATAGCTTCGAATGCGAGTATAGACCCCCGGTATGTTCTCTAGTCCACAGCCGCGTCCAGATGCCACGATGCCCTCAATTACCCAAGAAGTCGAATTGAGGCGCATAAGAGGGCCGCCAGAATCTCCACTGCATGCGTCTCGGTGGAAAACACCACCAGCGCAGAGTTGCTCATCAGCAACATAAAAGTAACTATCGAAAATATGGCGACACTTTTCCATGGAATAAAGTGGCACCCGGACTTTTTTCTTCACTCTACTATGTTGAGCTGTAACAAAACCAAAACATGTGATAACGCACAATAGATAGAATTAAATACAAAAAAAAACCAAAACTATTCGTCACCTACATAAACCCGTGTGACCCCAACCGGCCACCGTGAGTAGTGCACCCTCGCTTAGCTCTTGTTGAAGGCGAACAATGGGCAGGCAAACAGGCTGCATGTAATCATTAAATTCCACCGCCTTATCCATTCGAATCAATGCTATGTCGTTATGCTCATTAATGCGGAGATCCCGATTAGCACCGTAACGATCATGTACGATAATCTTCTGAATACCGTAGCGCTGATAGGACGGCGGGCACTCGTGCTGATTGCAATTCTCCGGTGATGCAATGTCATGATCTCCGGTGCGCACTGAGATGCTGAATATGAATTAAGTAAACAGTTGGATTAGTTTAGTAAAAATCGGAATGGTAATACATATCTACATTAGAGCGTACCAGAAAAAAAAATTCGCCGTACACATTCGAATCNCTTCTGACGGATTTCGAACCTGGGACCTCCTGAAAGCTAACAAATAGTAGCACACTTCTCTGCACACTCAGATACTGGCGAATACGTATACATTCTTTCAAATGCTCAGTTTGAACAAATATTTTAAAGTTATTGTTTTGAAATAAGATGATGACATTTTTTGGATACGAAAAATGAACAAATCTGGAAATCGTTTGTACGAAAACTGCACTTTCGGCAAAAAGTACGTTTCTCTCCTGGCTGTGAATGTAAACATTTCCAATACTCATTCATCACGTTCCCTTTCACAAAAAAATAAGAAGCTTTCATCTTTCATCTTTCTTTAATTTAATTACTAATTGTACATTTTTTGTTGGTTAAGCAATACTCTTCGTCTTAATGCTTTTAAGTTCCCTGCTTTCCTCTCGAATTCATTTCCACCTAGATGACAAGTATGTTCAACTAGGTAAATTTTATGTAGGCAAATACTGTCATGGTACTACCACGGTTCCATATGCTCTGCAATCCAATCGATATAGCTTCGAATGCGAGTATAGACCCCCGGTATGTTCTCTAGTCCACAGCCGCGTCCAGATGCCACGATGCCCTCAATTACCCAAGAAGTCGAATTGAGGCGCATAAGAGGGCCGCCAGAATCTCCACTGCATGCGTCTCGGTGGAAAACACCACCAGCGCAGAGTTGCTCATCAGCAACATAAAAGTAACTATCGAAAATATGGCGACACTTTTCCATGGAATAAAGTGGCACCCGGACTTTTTTCTTCACTCTACTATGTTGAGCTGTAACAAAACCAAAACATGTGATAACGCACAATAGATAGAATTAAATACAAAAAAAAACCAAAACTATTCGTCACCTACATAAACCCGTGTGACCCCAACCGGCCACCGTGAGTAGTGCACCCTCGCTTAGCTCTTGTTGAAGGCGAACAATGGGCAGGCAAACAGGCTGCATGTAATCATTAAATTCCACCGCCTTATCCATTCGAATCAATGCTATGTCGTTATGCTCATTAATGCGGAGATCCCGATTAGCACCGTAACGATCATGTACGATAATCTTCTGAATACCGTAGCGCTGATAGGACGGCGGGCACTCGTGCTGATTGCAATTCTCCGGTGATGCAATGTCATGATCTCCGGTGCGCACTGAGATGCTGAATATGAATTAAGTAAACAGTTGGATTAGTTTAGTAAAAATCGGAATGGTAATACATATCTACATTAGAGCGTACCAGAAAAAAAAATTCGCCGTACACATTCGAATCTAAAGTATTTTTTCAAGGGAATCTCGAAAAATTATATATTTTGGGCATAGCTTTGGCATTTACAGTCGCATCATAAAGTATGATATATCGATGTTTGTGTCTCGAGGAGTTAACTAGATATCAGTTCTTGTCACAAGATCGCCAAAAATCATTAAACTCTTGCTGTGTGTTCTCAAGAAAAGCAAAAACTCCATACAAAATGACGTACAAGAAATGCCTAAGAAATTTTCTTAAGTCAGTACGCAGTTCTTAAGAAATTTACTACGCGTTCTACTACGGGTTTCTAAAGTTTTTTGTGAAAAAAGAGCACAAGGCAACCCAGGTTTGCAATAGAAATATATGCCCGTTCCATTATTTCTTGAGTAAAGAGTGAGGCAACGGGCTGTGAGGTATCAAAAATGTCAAAATTCCTTGGACACACACGCGAAATAATGGCAATTTTTTCTTGACCGTTTTCTTGAGAGGTGAATACAGGGCTTAACTTGTAAAAAGACTCTAGACTCGAAGGTTTACGGCGAACTTTTTTTCCTGTGAAATGATACGATCTAATGTATGTACATTAGGGTGTTCCAAAAAAAAATAAAGTCTGAGTTTTAATGCCGGCACGCCCTAATATTTAGGGAGTGCTCAAAGTGCTCAGAGTTTTCCATGTGTTTTATATGGAGAAAAAAAAAATTTTCGTAGAAATGGTATACAACTCTTGAAAATCAGAATTTTTCGATCGGAAAACTGTGGTTCTCTTCAGGAGACCGTGGTTCTCTTCAGGAATCTCCTGAAGATAAACAAAGTTTTCCGATCGAAAAATATTGATTTTCAAGAATTCTACACTATTTCTACGAAAAGTTGTTTTTCCGCATATAAAATACATGGAAAACTTTGAGCGCTTTGAGCACTCCTTAAATTTTTTTTATTTCAAAATAAAAAAATAGGTGCATATTGTTTTTGGTATATAACAATCCTAGGGGGTGGCGGCATTAAAAAGCCGACATTTTTTTTTACATACATTTTTGGACCACTTTAATGTACATACATACATATTCAATGTAAAAAGGAAATGCGGAAGTAGTTTGTTTTTTGGACGTACAGTTTACCTATTTTCTGCTCAACTGGACCAGTGACACAATGAGCTGCTGTCAGCACATAACGTTCATTGATTAATGAGCCAGCGCATTCGGAGACAACTGAGCCATTTACTGAAAGCAAAATTAAATATTAAATATTCAAATCTATGAACACACATAGCAGTAGAACAGTCGCATCGGTACTGCAGAAAAACAAAATCATTGATTGACGACTCAAACTTCGTACTTAAAATTTACTCAGAATTGTATTCTTGACGAATTATAAGGACAACTCGAAATATATAAAATCAAACATAGCCACCACTTACCGATTTGATATTCCAGCTTAACCATCCAACTGAACTCTGTAATCTCAGCCTCTTCTCCACCGTAAATCTTATTCGATATCGTCAGTGCACCACATCGAGGCGGCTCTATAATGTAGACATTCTGACGTCCAGGGTCAGGCCTCCCATTTTGACCTGTGTCAGGAAAGATAATACGCTGCTGCCAATCCGCGTTGGAGTCTCGAAAGTCCGTGTCGTTTGTACAGCAGACGAAAGGGAATTTCCCGGTTGCATCAGCGCCACCGTCACACTGGGAAAAACGCACAAAGCGATATTGTGCCGTCAGCTGCTTTCTCAGAACAAAGCTCAGTGATTTGCAGTCGTAGATTGAAATGCAATGGCCCTCATTCTGGTTGGGATTAAGGCATTTGGTAGCTGATAAGAAAAATTGAATTTGCATCAAAAGATGATATCTCAGTAAAATTTTGAGCCAACCTGATTCCACGGCAGTTGGATTCGACGCAATGACGAAGACACCGGCAAGCAGCAAAATATCTATTACCAAAACCAGTCCCACCATGATTTGTGCTATTGACGGAAGCACTTCTAATTTGCAACTAATTTAATGAAAAGAGAAGCGAAAGGCAGTTGAGAAAAAACTACGAACTTTGAGTTTGATAAAGCTTTTAACGGAAGCTTTTAGTTAGAACAGAATATCTACTTTGTAGAGAATATTTCTAGTCTATTTTGAACCGATCGAATATATTTTGTTTGTAAGCGGTAACGTATGTAGTAGGGATGTTAATTTTTTAAATTTTTACGATCCCGGGATCAGTCCCGGGAGTTAGATATTTATTATTTTTCAACAACTTAACAAATATTCAGCGAGACAACTTTCTCAAAATCTGTACTGTCCCGCCAAAATCGGTACGAATGGTCGCCGCAGTTATACCTGTTTTTTTTTGTCTTAATTACGTTGAATCTGTACGATACACAAGCAGTTAAATTTCGTTCTATCAATTTTGAGTTAGCTCACTTTAAAAGATGAGATTTTATAAGATGACTAAATGCCAGAATTCTGGTGTGGAAAGTCAAAGAACACTAAAACTGCAAATTTTTAAGAATCATGCAGATTTGTAGTTATAACCCGTTATTTCTCTTCATATCTATGTACATTGTACATGTGTTACAAAATAAAGTATGTACGTATATGTATGTATGTATGTACTTATATGTAGATGTTGATGAGCGCTTAATGATGAAATGAAAACTTTTCATATTTCGATCAAGTGAGCTGTTGTGCCTGAAACAATAGATTTCGAAAATTATTCATTTGCCCTCAAAACCTTTCTAAAACCATCAACCCACACAATAAAATAGTTGTTATATCATAAAATCACTACGCTCGTACGCCATTCGTAATTTGATACTTTTTTGTGTAAATAAGAGAAAATCAAACCATGCCAACTCCGCTGCCCTACCTCTCTCCCTCCCCTTTCTAAATACCGTGCTGCAACTGGTAGACGAAAAAGCAGGCCATTTCCATTAGAATTTAAACCGCCACATAAACAGATGAACCAAATGACTCAAATAACAGTTAAGTTGAAAATCTCTAATTTGTAAAATCGCATTTCATGTTATCTGAGGGTAATAATTCCTTTCCCCTTACAGCGTTAAACAGCAAAACGATGGCACCGAGGTGAGGTGGCACATGAAATCTCCAAGGGATCGAGTATATTCGTTGAACTTGTTGGCTGCTGACTTTTGACAACTCTGAAAACCATTTGGAGTAACCTTTTAATTTCCGCCAATTTCCTTTCGCTCGCAACTTCCCTTTAGTTATGTACATATGTATGTATGCATATTGCATTACGCATTGAACGATTAGGCATAAGAGGTGGGGGCGTTGAAGTAACAGGAAACCACAGTTCTTCTTCAGGCAAAGCGGGGTTCCTTCGGGTCAGCAAGCGCGGCCAAAAAGGGTTAAATTGGTGGCAGTCGACGCGAACGAGAAAGACCGCGCAAAAGAAGTCGTGGAAGTGAAAGTGTCATCGACAGATAACGACAGGAAATTTAAGTGGAAGACAACATTTTTATACGAATGCTTTGTGTTGTGTACATATATGCATATACCTACATACATTAGCGCAGGGAAACCCTCAGTTAATGAAATCACTTTCTGGTTAAGAAGTCGTTCTAGGCTTCGGTAATTTCGAACCACTTTGATCGCGTCTGAAGTAAGCCGACTGCAATGTCGCGCGTACATTATAGTTTGCGATTCTAATGGTGGTGATGCGAAATTAAACAAAATAGTTATTTATCTGTGAGTAAATAATAAGGTGTACCGAATCTTTGTGTGTATGTACATTCGTGAGTTACCAATTATAAATAATAGGGCCTATTCTAGTTTTCGTACAAATCGAAAATTTGAAACTTTTGTATAAAAAATAGGAAAATTTCATGATTTTCGATTCGTATGAAAACAAGAATACGCCCCGATATAAGACGAACAATCGATAAAATTCTCCTACCTACCTACGCTGAGAAAAGAGTTTAGTTACGTCAACTAAATATGTTTCTCTCCTCAACTCACGATTTACATAGTTATGGTTACATTATTTGGCTATATGTAGTTACCAATTCATGTATACTCCCAGCAAACAATTAGGTTTGATATACATTTGAGAATAATTTGAAATCAAAGCCTTTCTCAAATGTCAAACGTTTGAAAATGATTTGATACCAATTTGAAAATTATAATATTCTCAATAAAAAGGAGAGTTTGATCTTCATTTGACAATATGGTTAACTCCCAAATCAATTTCAAAGGTTATTCATCAATTGTACTTCAAATGTGGAAATAAGATTTAAATATTATAGGATATGTATATTTCATATTTATTTTTTCTTCGCGATGTACATATGTATGTACCAGAGAGTCCAGATTTGGCGATTTTTTTTTTTGGATACTTGCGCGTAAAAATTTAGGAAATCGCCATTGGCGATTTTTGGCGATTTTTTCCCCTTCAATTATAAAAATTATTTTTTCCAATTATAAAAATATACAAAACTGAGTTTTCCACGATAATTTTACAGAAGAGGCTAATGCAATGCGTGATAAAATTGACTTAAGAAGCAAATTAAAAGACTGTCAAAAATGTTTAATCACCCTAATCGGAGAACTTTTGAAACGATTACCTAGTCAATTAAATACTTTCAAAAAAGCTTTGATTCTGTCACCATAAAAGTATGTGAATCACAAGAGGGTGAGTTTCAGGGACCTGCCAGTTTACTATTTGACTTTGAAGGCAAGAAAAGCAGCGGAAACTGAATATTTAAATTTTTTAACTTTCCCATGGAATAACTCTTCTCAGAACCATTCCATCAAACTCTGAAGAATTTTTGGATAATTGCTTACGGAGTGAAAACTGCCACAGGTAATAAAATGTGTGGAAACATAAGTAAATTCATATTATTACCCTTTCCGCACTCTCACGTTCTGTTGAGCGCGTTTTTTTCCCGTAATGAATTCAACAAAAACTAAGATTCGAAATAGGATGAGGTTGGAAAGCCTTAATTAAATAGTTCGAATAAAGTGTTATTTAAAGGCTGCTGCAAAACGTTTCCAATATCAAACAGTACGTTATTAGGGTTGAATAGTTCAATATATGACAACAGAAATGTAAATAATTCAGACACTACAGGTGATTTTGAAAAAATTGTGGAAAAAGCTGATCCCGCCTTATTATAGGTTTTTATTTAATTTTAGCGCCGAGCGGACTGTGCGATTAATAAATTAATATGAGTTATAATAAATTTAATAATTGCGCAGTCCTATTGCAAAATGTGTGGAAACAAATACTTTTAAAAAGGATGTGTATTTTTAAAGAAAATTGTTTGTACATCACTATTATATGAGGGATTTGTGTTATTTATTATTACCCTTTTAAGGTATTATATTCGTTTTTGGTTTTAAAACTATATTATAACAAGATCTCATTTTTAAAATAAAGGATTTGCTAAATCGATTTCATAAATTTTATTTAAAAAAATTTACGGTTTTTGGCGATTTTTTTCTTCCAGAAATTGCGCTTTTTATTCAAACAATCTGGACACCCTGGTATGTACATAACAAAAGAAACAATTAAGATAAAGTAATTTATAATAACTTCGTATTGAAGGGCGGCAGCTTCTTCAATCCGCGCAAACATTAAATCCACTATTTGTGGGCTTTCTCTTTGAAATTTTTTTTCTATTCATTGTTTTTTTTTCAATTGATCTTAATTTTATTCATACAATTTTAGATTTAACTGCGCATTTTTGTATCGTTTGATACTTGACATCTTTCTTCAAATCAACCTAAAATGAATTTCAAATGTAAAATTTAAACCTCGACTTTTTTCTTGGTGTACTCTACGTGATTTCTGAACCAGTTTAATTTGCTACAGGGTATGCTTGTTTTCATATGCATATGCAAAACCGAAAGCTTACTTAGTGGGCAAAATGGCGGTGCCTATGTTTAGGCGCAATCATAAAACATTAACATAATATCGCTGGGTCGGCCTAAAGAAGGAAATTTACACAAAGGNTTTGGTCCTAGTGGTGGTAGATTGATTGAAGAACCTAAGCAAAAATGACATTGCACAGTGTGCCACAACCGTTGGAATTTGATGAACAGTTTGGGCAAAATATGCTCTTATGCTCTGGAGCCCCACTATATATTTTTGTTGAAGCAACATCAACCTCGAGAGAACTGCAAATGCAAACGTCTGGCGATACGGTTTATAGCAACAAGGTATTTTGTGTTGCAAATACCAGGATGGAAATAAATGCGGGTTCTCCGCTTCCATCCCCAAAGAAATTTGTCTGGAAGGTCGAGCAGAGATCTGGGCGAATGGATCCGCTCACCTTGACCCCAGATCTGTACATTAGTTCACAGATGGGCCAAGGATGGAGGACGGAGCATCTGTGGGTATATATATATATATATTTTTTTTTTATAATTCAATACAAAAGGAATTCGTATACCTGACCCACGTGACATAGGTGGAATTCCACGTTTAGATATTTCACTTTGAAAGCTAGTTTAATCTTCTTTCATCAAATTTGTATATTTGGCCAAATTTAAAAATAACTTTTTTCTAACGACTTTAATTATAAAAGTCCGGGTCCCTGATTCTGACGCTCTTCAAATTTTGGCATCTAGAAACTCGGTTAGACTGTGCTGAGTCTAGACCACAGCGGGATCGTTTTGCCAGGCATTAACTATTTTGCGTCCGTTGTCGGGACCCACAGTTGCCGAGTTACGGAAATTCAGAACTCAGCTCGATAAAGACCTTAAATAAGCAGGCCCTTTGGCATTCCTCAGTAGGAAGTGGATACACCTTTTGAATAAAACAAGTATCAGATTGGCCACGAGGTAGCAAATCCGTCCCACCTGCCGCGACCACCTAACTATGGACACGATATTAAGTATTTGTCTCCAACACGACGAGTCATTTCGTGATTGTTCAGCATTGGTTAGTTTAATAATGAAACACTCAAATATGTATGTACATCCTGGTCGAACCCTTTATTATTCGACATTTGGCTAACAAGTTACTGTTACATTTATTACATTACATTTATCAGGAAATTTACTGCTCTCAGCGTTCGTGGAAAAAAACGACATATGAAAGAGGCTGTTGGCAGAGAAAAACTGTCAGCTTTGCCCGTTGTTTGTTCTTCTTTTAGACTCGGAAATTATTGCAGGGTGCAATCCAGCGCATTGCGTGGAAAAATTTCTTCAGTTACGATCGAAATATGAAAANGTTATTATTCGACATTTGGCTAACAAGTTACTGTAAGCATTTATCAGGAAAGCTAATAGTATCATACAGGCTAACCTAATATTCACGCACGCCGCCAATTTACTGCTCTCAGCGTTCGTGGAAAAAAACGACATATGAAAGAGGCTGTCAGTTTTGCCCGTTATTTGTTCTTTTGGACTCGGAAATTCTTGCAGGGAACAAACCAGCGCATTGCGTGGAAAAATTTCTTCAGTTACGATCGAAATATGAAAAGCGATGCGTAAAAATACAAATGTAAAGATTCGCAACTAACAGTTTTTTTTTTGCGTCAGGCGATGTGGGTACTTTTAATTCGAGAAAATTTCGAGTTTTTTGTTAGTTACAAATCTTTGCATTTTAGGTGATGAAATGTTCTCTATGAAACCAGTGCTATTTTTTCCAAAAAGTCTATGTATGAATCATTATGGAAACACTGCTTTATCAATTAAGAGGAAATTGTTGTTGTCACAATATAACACTTGTTCTTTATTTATGTGTATTCCTTTATTTTAGCTAGCTGTATACATTTTATTGATAAACAAAGGCTTTTTATAGGGATCAATTAAGATTGTAGTTAATTTAGGCGGTGCCCGCAAAGCACAGCAATGGTTTTAAAATATCCCTGGGAGCGAACTTGGTTGGACACCACTGAGCCAAATCATTTTTCAGTTACCACATATTTAAGTAGTGGATATCTTTGAACATTTGGAAAAAAAGAGTAAACAAACCCACTGTGCAGTAGCAATTTGGATAGAACTACATACTTACTTGTACATATGTAGATACTTTGGCGGGCATAAATGTAAACACAGGATGCCCATTTTCGTAATTTTTACTGCATTTTTATGGTTTCATAGTTCACTTTGTAATCAGCGCATTGGCCCAGGTCTTAAATGTTTGCATATGACTTAACTCACACAGTAAGTTATAACAGCATAAGTTATTATGGTGAGAGATTTCTGCAGAGCCAAGTATTGCAAGGTTAATTAAAGTGCTTACCAAATGCAAATATGTTGTTGCATAAATACTTTGTGTGGACTTGATAAAGTAAGTACATATGTACCTACATACATATGTAACAAAAAGGATAATATAAGT